AAAATACAGCACTCTTGAGGAACGCTTTTAATTTTAACTGTTTTTCAGTTGTTCTTAGATCAATTTATGTGCGAAAAGTAATATATACCGTATTCTCTCTAATAGTAGTGCGCATTACTATTTTTTGAACCCCCTCCTGGACCGCAATACTATTAGAGAGTGCACTACTCTCTAATAGTATTGCTTAACCCATTCGAAACCGCAGCGTTTTTTCTTTTTTTTCGTCTACGGACCAAGCCCTTTTTTGATATTTTTGACTCCGAAGCAGTTTATTTATGGTTGGAAAGATGTAAGAGAGTCTCCTACACCATTTATTTTTGATGAAGAACGATTTGGATTTGACTTCAGTACTTTTCAAGATCCTATCCATTATTATTCTTATTTTATCGACGGCAATATTTTAGTAGGCGAATCTAATAAATATGGAAAAAGGAAAACAAACTGGCAGGATTTCGATGCAAAATCTTTCAAGCTCTTCCTGGCTTCAAATGGGAATCGTCAAATTACCGAGGATTCGTGACAAATGAGAATTACTGGAGTAGCAGGCCTGGATTAGGAGGATTTTCCCACATGTCCCACATTATGTCAAGAGCAAAATTTGAATCTATTCTTCGAAACCGGCGTTTTTGTGATAATCAACTGGATCCTGCAGGAGATCGGCTTTATAAGATTAGAGCTATTATGGAATATTTCAATGCAAAACCAGAGGCTGCATTGATTCCGGGTAAGTATGACACGTCTTTTTGCCCACGTAATTTGTGGATCTGTTACAATTGGAATATACATGTAATGCTGAAAAACAGCAAAAAAAAAAGCAATTAATTGAATGAAAATAGCTCAATTAGCGCTGCAGCGGTCCGTTCCTGAGTTTTTGCTGCAGCGATTATTCGCTGCAGAAGTTTCGAATGGGTTAAAGAGTTTTATCATTTACCAAAGTAAGACAGATATAAGATTTGTTCCAAAAATTGTTTTAAAAAAAGCAACTTTCTAAAAATATTTATTAGCTTCTGATAAGAAAAAGTTAAATAAACAAAAGAAAAAAATCTACAACAGAATCATCATTTGAATCATCATCCTTATCTAGTTCAATATTTTTGCGTTGATCCTTTACTCCGTTTTATGCTCCGTACAGTAGGGTCTAAAAGTTTGGAACAATCATCTTCCGGCAAAACGCATACTTGGGAAAAATTACTGTACTTTTAGCGAAAATTATTGCGAAAAAAAATCATGAGCGCCCGCTTATATACGACTTCTTTTAAAGATATTCAGCCGTTTAACTGATTTGATGGCGAATTCCCGTCAAATATAAAGATATTCAGTTTACTCAACGTGTAAAGAGGATTACTCGTACAGTCGGGTCCAAAAGTTTGGAACCATCACCTTCCGGCAACTTTAACTCGATGTAACGATGTATTGAATGTATTTAACGCAAGTTGCATCGAGTTAAAGTTGCCGGAAGGTGATTGTTCCAAACTTTTGGACCCTACTTTATCTATGCTTTATTCAGTTGAATAGCGACAAAACAAAATCACAATAATCACCCGGGACACCACTCAAAACACACCCAAATTCAAAGTCTTACCCTTTCAGTGTAATCTTTTCCAAAAACACTATAGTTTACTTTTTTTTGCTTTTCTTTTTGCCACAAGATTTATGCTGAACTTTTCGATAAAACGAATATCACACAGATAAAAAGAAAAGCACCTGTTGCCTAATTTCCGGAATTTCTCAAAGTTTCCCTTCAAATTTTTCCCAATAAAGGGCAATTTCAGGAAAAAAAAATTGGAGAATTTTATGCCTTCAGTCCATTTTTTTTCTCCACCAAAAGCTTCCCAACATTATTCTTTTTTTTGGGAGTTTTTCTTTTTGAAAATTGCTCCAATTCAACTCAATTTTCCCAATGTTCTCTCCATTTTTGTTTGCTTAAAAAAAAGTTTTAGTCTTATTTTGCTCGTCATCAATAGAATAAGAATTTTTTTTGATCGAATTTCTAACTTCTAAAAGATTATAAACTTTGATTTGGGAGTAGGCTAGTTTCCGTCATTTTATTTGCGCGACAGGCGATTTGCGCAATTGGGCCATTTGCACAACTCGACATAACTTTATTCTAAGTCGACCAATCTTTATGATTGTAGATCTCAACAAGTGCAACAAAGTAACACCACAATCATAAAGATTGGCCCACTTAGAAGACTTGAACCACTTAGAAGCCACTTGAACTCGGAGGGGATTGATATCGGTTTAGCTGAATGGATGTTTCGACAAGCAAGTTTGGGAGTAGGCTGGTTTACGCAACCTTTTTTGAGCACTAGGCTCATTTGCGCAACTGAATCGTTTGCGCAACTCGCCATAACTTTCTTCTAAGTCGGCCAAAAAAAAAGGTGCGTTTTCAACAAAAAAAAATCCACTGAAGAGAGCTGAAAGGATTTAAAATTATCCGAAAAGACGAGTACTCAATTTCCAGAATTGTATAGGTGGCTAATAAGTAGACCTAGATAGTTCGATCCGATCAATCCGAACGTATTGGCCCCGCTCACTTTCGCCTTTTTGCCGTTTGGAAAATGCGTTTTTCTCACCTTTCTCACGCATTTTGTTTTCTTCGCATTTTCTTACGCATTTTGCGAACGGCAAAAAGGCGAAAGTGGGCGTGACCAATTCGCTGGGATTTATCGGATCGCATGTCTACTTATTAACCACGCTGTACAATTCTGCAAATTGAGTACGTGTCTTTTGGGTTTAATTTTAAATCCTTTCAGCTCTCTTCAGTGGATTTTTTTGTTGAAAACGCACCTTTTTAGTACACTAGAGTAGTTTTTTTTCGATCTATTATTGCTGCGTGCTTGAGCGCGTTTTGCTCCTTGCTTCAAATGGGATTAAGCACAAGAATCGCAATAAAATCTTTCATAGTCATTATGCCAAAAATCCATGCGTATATTTAAGATTCCCTGGTTTCTTAGCAACATTTTCGGAATGTTACTTATGAGATTTAGGGTAAAGCTTTAAGGGTAACAAGCGTTCAAGCACGCGACAATACTCATTAGCCACCATGCACTTGAGTCCTTTTTGGATTTACTTGTACTTGAGTCCTTAAACAAAGCAAAACACATTTAAAAGCGATTCACTGAAACAATCGAGAATCATTGAATGGAAACCTTTTCTCGTTTCCAATATCAATGCACTCGATAGACTCATTTCTCTCATTTTCTTCCCGCAATTTGATCTCTTTCGCTTCTCTCATTTCACTCTCCAGACTCCCCCTCATCCAATGCCAAATACACTTCAGGAATTTGTATTTGTAATTTATAGAGTCGAGAATCGAATCTAGTATTGATTTGGATTTGATTGATCGATTAAAGTCACGATTTTAAGCGAATTCTCATAATTCTTTATTTTATAACTGTTTAAATCAATGCTCCAGACAGTTTTCAATCAAAAATTTCTTCAATTTTTTCAATTTTTTCAATTTATCAATTTAAATCAATCCTCCAAGCAATAAAGCATTTCTTAGCAACATTTTGGCGATGTTACTTATGAGATTTAGGGCTTTAGGGATAAGCTTTAGTAAAGCTTTAGGGATAACACGCGTTCAAGCACGCGACAATTCATATTAGCCACCATGTACTTGAGTCCTTTTTGGATTTACTTGTACTTGAGTCCTTAAACAAAGCAAAACACATTTAAAAGCGATTCACTGAAACAATCGAGAATCATTGAATAAAGCAATAAAGCATTTCTTAGCAAATTTTTGCATGCTCCAAGCTAGAACAGAGTTTTTTTCTTTCAAAAACGCTTAGAAACGCTTGTTGATTTATTTTTTGACTTATAGATGTTTGCTGAAAAATTTTGACTTTTTGAAAAGTTGTAGAAAACTCAAAAATCTTTGCAATTCCTCAAAACTGTCAAATTTGACTGATAACTTTTGATTTGACTTCAAGTTTTCTTTGGCCTAAAGAGCCTTGATAAGCCACCACTTTGCCTGACCCGTTGTGCTTCCGTAGCGCAGTAGGCAGCGCGTCAGTCTCATAATCTGAAGGTCGTGAGTTCGAGCCTCACCGGGAGCAATTTTTTTTGCTTTTCTGATTAAACACTACTTTTTTTTTTCTTCTGACTCTTGTCAGTTTCCTCGGACTTATTGGACTTAATTTTTTAGGCAGATTGCTGACTTATAAAGCGGAAAAACGTTACAGTGTACAACTTTGGAAACTTTACAAAATCATAAGATCATAAGAGTCACAAGTATCTATAAGAGTCACAAGTATCTATAAGAGTCACAAGTATCTACAAGAGTCACAAGTATCCATTTATCGTAAAGACTCTAATAACATTGGCTTGATTAATTAAAAAATTTTTGCTTTTTCACTGAAAACGGTAAAAACATGACTAGAAATAGTTTTCTATGTAAAAAGCCGAAATTTCGGGATCCTTTGTTCATTTCCGAAATGAATCCTCATTCTCTGAAATGAATGAAGCAATTTCCTTCCTTAACTCCATCAAATGTTCTGATTGAAATCTGGAAAAAAACTCAAGAAAAGAAAAGGAATTTGAAAGAACATGGAGTAAAGCCGGGGGAATAAATTGCTGCCACCCACCATCTACCAAACAAAAAATGGGGAAAAGAAGAGAAAAAAATGGAAAGAATTCAAGAAGATGATGTGAAAATTGCCCTAAATACCCAAGCTACCTAAAAAATACGTTTATGTTGGGGTTTTTGAAAATTTTTGATTATCTTTTTGATTTTTTTTAAAGTCTTTGATTGTTTTCTTGGGCTCAGGCTCCTTTTTTTCTGGGAAACTTTGAATAACTTATTTTCTTAACTCTAAAATTCGTTCAACTTTTATTTCCAAGCTTATCCTTATTCATAGCTTCAAGATCTTTGTCTTTTCTTTGTCTTTTTTTTTGGCTTTTCTTTTGCAGATCTTTTTTCTTGAAATCCGATCTTGAATGAAGTTTGGTTCAATTTTCTCTCAATTCTCTTGATTTCATTCAAGTCATTTTTCTAGATGACAACTGAAGAAAATGAATGCGATGGCTTGGAAAGAATCATCGATAGTCAGGTGAGTCAAAAAAAACGGGGTAAAGAAGGGGGGAGAGGGGACAAGGGAAAAAAAAAAGATTTTGAAATTTAAAAAATTTAAAAAAAAAATTTTAAAATATAAAAAAAAAAAAAATTTTAAAAAAAAAATTTTATAATAAAATTTAGTGAGGGGGTTGTTTTATTTTTTTTTTTAGGGGGGGTTGGAGGGGAGGAGGTTTTAAAAGGGGGAAAAGGGGAAATAAATTTTTATGGGGGAGGGGTGGGGGAGGGGGGAAAAAAAGGGGGAACAAAACGGGGGAACCGGAGGGGAAATCAAAAACAAAAAAAAAACAAACCCCCCCCCCCCAGCGATATTGTTTATCAATTATTGATCATATTGAACGATATTGTTTACCAACTTTCCCCAAAAAAGGGGCGCGAGCGGGCAAAAAAGGGCGAATTGGCCCAACCCCAAAACAACTAATTAAATCAAATCGTTTATCAACTTTATTGTGAAATGCAAATTATCAAAATGAAATTGTTTGGTTTAATTAAAGGATTAACTGTGCAATCCTGAGAACAGCCGAATTTCATTTGTAACTTGCAAATTGTAAATTACAAAAGGAGTCCTGCAAAATACCCCATTTTTGCTAGGTTTGAGTTCAAATCTGTGCAAAAGCAAGCACTATTTAGCCTATTTTGAGGGTTCTTTGTGATCAAAAATGCTGAAGCGCACCCTTTCTCGTTTGGGTTCTTAATTTCCCTCATGTCAGTAAGAATCTGATAATACTTTTATTCAGGACAAGGTACAAGCACCAAGAGAAAAGCGACCAAGGCTATAGCTAAAGAGTAAAGAGCTATCAAGAGAAAGGTACCAAGGCTATAGCCAAGAACTAAAGAGCTTACTCAAGAGCTTACAGAGCTCATCTACTCACGAGATTCGACTTTTTCTAATCAATAATCACATTTGCTTTGAAAACAATTCAATTGAAACAAAACCACTGTTCGACTTTTAGAATTCATATATGTGGAACGGGCAACAAGGCAGCTACATCGTTGTGATTGTCTATGCGATCGTTTGCACTTTTGGAGCGATTGCGAATTTCGTTGTGCTGATGGCTTTCTGCAAGAATGCAAGCTTGAGAACGATGAGGAATCGGTACGAATTCTCAATTTCTTTCTCTTTCTCTTTTTCTCTTTTTCTCTAAATTCCTAACCTCAAATACCCATTTCCTTATCCGTTTTGAAAATTTTGAAAAGAAAACACCCGGATCTGTGAAAAAGCTTCTTAAAAAGAGTTTATTTTCAAGAAAACAAATCTGAAACTCAAAATAATTAAGGATTTAGGTGTCTTTGGGTGTCTTTAGGTGTCTTTAGGTGTCTTTAGGTGCCTTTAGGTGTGAATTTGAAACTCACATAACTCAAAACTCAAAACAAGTGTGAGTCGACAGGAAAAAAAATCGATTCTTGAAAGAAAATTCTTTGTTTTTCCCCTCTTTTCCTCTTTCATCTCAGCCAATTCACAGAAAGATACAAATTTCGGATTCTTTTTTTTAAGAATAAAACTCATTTAATCAATCAAATTGAGCCCATGAGAGAAATGAAAATTTTCCCCCACCCATTGTTTTAAGAAGAGAATTCTACTCGAGATAATTGACATGGGAATTCAGGGTCGAGAAATGAAAGAGTAAAGGATTCGACTTGAACTTGAAATTTTAGAAAAAAAGAGAAAGCGAATTTGGGATATGAATGCTTTTAGAGCTTAATTTATGTTAATTTTAGAGTTTAATTAATCATTAATGAATTTAGAGATTCTGTGCAGATTTTAGAGATTTTAAGATAGCGCACTTTTTGAGTCAAAGAGAAAGCCCAATTCTTCGTAATGTAAACAGATTTTTCAGCTACAAAAGACAATCATTTTCCTGGAGATAAGAGAAAATTGAATATTTTATCTAAGTCGATATTTTATTAAGATCAGTCAGCTAAAGTTTTTAAAATATTCAGAATTGAAAGAGTCACTTTTAGAGTTCAACAAATTGGTAGCTTGTTCCAAAGGAGAATTCTGTTTCCAGGTTTCCAGATAAGGCAAAATCAAGCCTGTCTATATGGCTAAGTTCGGTTTTGGCTCTTGATCTAGTCTGATTTGGCTTTGTTCTTGAATTGTCCTCCAGAGCCAGGCCTAGACCCAGCCAGGCCTAGACCCAGCCAGGCCTAGACCCAGCCAGGCCTAGACCCAGCCAGGCCTAGACCCAGCCAGGCTTAGACCCAGCCAGGTTAGACCCAGCCAGGCTTAGACCCAGCCAGGCTTAGGCCTAACCGGGCTTAGACCTAGCCAGGCTTAGACCCAGCCTGGCTTAGACCCAGCCTGGCTTAGACCCAGCCAGTTAAGCATAAGTTAGTTAACTTCTTACTTGAAATTCATATAAACCCAAACCCTTTCCAGTTTCATCGTCAACTTGGCCTTCTCGGATCTTCTCCTTTGTATGATCACAGCACCGGCTTTCCTTTACCTCACCGCAAACATGTTTTGGCCTTTTGGGGATTTGTTGTGTAAAACGGTAAAGAATTTGAATAATCTAGCTTTATTTCTAACTTTTTCTCGACTTTCTCTAATGAATATTCAGGTGGCCGCTGTGCAAGCAGTGAATACTTTCGTCTCTTCTCTTACCCTCGCCGTCATCGCTTTGGATAGAGCACTGCTCACGATTTGCCCAGTTCAATGGTGAATTATGAAAAGAAAACAAGAAAATAGGATTTTCAATTCTAAATACAAAAATTTCGAACAATTTCTCTTTAAATTTCTCTTGGAAATGATGAATAAGAATGATAGTGGGTTGAGTTAGACAAGCTCGAAACTGAATACTGTAATCCAGCTAATCTTAACTGAATACCTTAATCTAGACTGAATACCTTAAACTAGACTGAATACCCTCATCTATACTGAATAGAGTGTGTTCCTTGCAGACAACGCGTTTTCTAAAAAGCGCGCGCCAAGGATAAGCTACCGTAACCCTGCATCAGCAAATTTTTCAAAATGCAAATGTACATTAAAATCTTGCGCTCTTTTTTTCTATTACTCTTTCCTTAACTCTATTACTCTTTCGCTAAAACTTAAAAATTTTTAAATGCTATTTAAAATTAAAGAAAACATTTAAAACGGGAAAAGTTAATAAACACTATTAAAAAATGATATTATTTACGAATTTACCAGGCCTATTGTCTACATTTGCACTAGAACCATTCCAAAAAAAATTCCACGCCCTAAAAAACCTGAATCCTTAAATAAAACTATCCATTACTATATTTTCAGAAAAGTTTGCAAATTTTTTTCGCGCGACCTTTATAGCTTTGCTTAAAAAGCGCACCTTTTAGAAAACGCGTTGTCGGAAGTTTGTCGGATCAATTGTCTGACAAAAAAGTTGTCAATGAAAATTTGTCTGACAAATTGTCTGTCAACAAGGAAGCACACTCTAATACTGAATATCCTAATCTAGACTGAATACTGTAATCCAGCTAACCTTAACTGAATACCTTAAACTAGACTCTGTTGAGTAATGAAAAATCTTTTAAACAAGCTGAAAAACAACTTTTAAAGCTCTCCTATTATCCTCAAATCGTTAAATTTAAATAAATAGACTTTAAATTTGTAATATGAAATGTAATTTAGGAGATTAGCCTCAACAGCGCCGTTGATTTTCTTTTCCCTTGTGTGGATCGTCTCTGCTCTGATCGCTATCCCTTATGGTTTTGCCGTTTCAGCCGTTCCCCCTCAATTCCCACCATGGAACGGTCAAGAAAGCAGAGATAAGGTAAAGTATGATAGAGATTTCAAATTTTGTTTGTTAAAGACTTTTCTTATGCCTTTTCAGTTAGTTTCGTGTGAAATTGGTATGCCGAGAATCTGTCAAGAAGACGAAGCAACGTGGAATTTGATGCCCGTCGGTCGTCTTTCATACACAACAATTGGTAGAAAAAAGTCGACAAAACCCCGCACAAAATCCGTTTTCAGTTTTCGCAATTCAATACCTTTTACCACTCTCTGCTTTACTCTACGCATATCATCAAATCGGGAACACGATTAGGTAAGAAATTTATAGAAAAATGAGATTCAAAAGTTTTGTCCGCTTTTTTTTAAAGGTTACTTTTTGAAATGAATAATGAATAATGAATAATGCACAAATCAATTCGAAAATAGGGTTTTCTACAGAAGAAATACTCAAAAATTATCTTCAAAAATTTCATACGAATTCATTGAGTTCTCGCTGAGTTAGACCCTCCCAAGTGAGTCGCTTTAATTCGCGGTCACTCTATATAAAAGGTTGAAGAAACGTGAATTTCTATCGAGCTACTGTTAACTTTTTTCCTTACAAAAGTTCAAATCTGAATTCAGAAAACGAAACCGAACAACAAAACCGTTAGATGCATCGAGGAGGAATTTATTGCAAACAAGAAAAAGGTATTTTTTATTTAGAAATAAAAAGGAGCTTTTGCCTAGATCTAAAAATCGAAATTTACCTTTGCTCGAAATATTACCCTTGATCGTAAATATCGTAATAGTACCCTACCGTCATAATGACGATGCGGATTGTTGCGTAGTCGAGCATTGAACACTTTGAACATTCATGGGACAGACTGAAGCTACAATGCGCGTTTATACAGTAGCGGACATAATTTTGGAAACTTTGGTTTTTTCTAAAAAAATTTTCTTAGTAAAGTCTGATTCGGTATGTTTACTAGCGGAAATATATAGACCTAAAAAGCACGTAATAATCCATAGAAAGAACTGCTGAACTTTTTGAAAACTTTTATTTCTAATGCATTTATCTATAAACCTAGAGGACATAAATTTGGAAACTTTCATAAAAACCTCAAGTGTATTACTTTTTTGTTCTATTTTTAACCTAAACTCACAAATTTGGTACCAATCGACGCAGAATTTAATTCGCTACAGGATGATATAATATTGTCCTCATACATTAAAGGGTTGCTCTGCTAGAAAGATTTACCAAAAAATTTCATTCATAATCGGCTACGACATATATACAATTTCTTTTTGAAAATATTCAACTGTTTAAATGATTTGATGACAAATTCTCTTCAAATGTAAAGATATTTCAATTTACTCGGGTGTGTAAAGAGGATTACTCGTAGTTACCTGGCGAAAAATGTCGATTACTGTCGATTAATGTCGATTACTCATGCTTCAGAAGAGCAAGAGCTTTGTTTCAGAAGAGCTCTCTTGTTGTTGATTGTCTTGGTTTTAACGTATGCGATCGCGTGGTTTCCAATGAATCTCTACAATTTGTTGAGTGGACTCGAGATCATCACTTTCAATCAATATCAGTAAGCTTTTCGTAATCGGCATCAATTTAGGAGTCATCGTCAATCTAAACACTTTGAAATTTTTCATTTGCAATGAGAAGATTTCTGCTATTTAAACACTCATCTCAGAAATTTCCTTTCTTCTTTTCTTCTTTTCTTCTTCTCTTTTCTTCATTGACTCCAACAGCTTTAGGCATCAATTTAGCAGTCATCATCAATTGATACACTTGAACTTTTTCATTTGCAATGAGAAGATTTCTGCTATTTAAACACTCTTCTCAGAAATTTCCTTTCTTCTTTTCTTCTTTTCTTCTTTTCTTCTTTTTTTCTTTTCTTTATTGACTCCAACAGCTCCAGCAGAAAATTCAATCCCAAATTTAGATATGTCTTTTGTCATTTAATCGGGATTTCCTCAACTTGTGTCAATCCAATCACATACGCACTTGTGAATGAAAACTTTCGAACGGCTCTTCATCAAATATTCTCGTGGGTGCAAAGGAATTAAAGTTGACATTAAGTGAACTGTAAATGCTTTAAGAAAAGAATTCATCAGAAACTTTTTAATCGATTTCTCTAACCTCAAAACTCTTTTCTTCTAACAACTAATTCTCGAGGATATAAATGATTTTAATCTTTAATCCAATCTTCACCCAATCGAGGTTCAATTTGAGATGGAAAAAAAAAGAAATCTTTGTGAATAATTCATGCAATTGCAGCAATGCAAAAAGGGGATTAAAGGGGAAATTGCAGAAAAGAAAATGAATTGAATTCATGATCTTAAAATGAAATTTATGATCTGGGATTTGTTTTGAAATGGATTTTTATATAAATTAAGAGAATGGGAAAGCTATGAGCTTCTGCGCTTGCATTGAAGTCCTCAAAATACATCTATCCTGATGTCTTAATGCTGTAAATCTCCAGCTTTTATCTCATAATTTTGTACACTAGATAATGTAGATATTTATTCGACGGAAATCTTGCGTTTAGACTAATAAGACAAGATACAGTGTCCAAAAAAGATCAACAACTATGTTTCGTTACTGTCGTCACAGTATCCAGCAGTAATAAGACGCAGTTGAAATGGATTTTTATATAAATTAAGAGAATGGGAAAGCTCTGATTTGTGCGCTTGCATTGAAGTCCTTAAAATACATCTATAGTTGTCTTGATACTCTAAATCTCCAGCTTTTATCTCATAATGACGGTGCGGAGTGTTGCGTAGTCGAGCTTTGAACACCTTGAACATTGTTGACACTGGTTTAAAGCTCGTTATACGTCTACTTCGAAAGCTCATCGTTTCACTCATCCCATTCTAATCCCAAAATTTTTTAGTTGGACTCCATGTTGCACGACAACCATCGACAATAACACCCAATTCACAACGCTTCAGGTTTTCAAAATACTAACTCTTGCTTAAAAATCGAATTTTTTCCAGTTCAAAAGCGGCACTTTTGTAATGATTAAGGGTAAATTTCATATGCCGTATTTTCTCTAATAATAGTCCACCAAGAGCGTCGCCTAAATTGCTCGAAATCTCGAGAACCGCTTATCAAAACCTATCGATGTGGGGTCGGAAAATGTGGGGGGTAGTCAAAACAGCGCCATAATAGAAAACGTTCAAAACAGCGCCGTCAAATTTCTCAAAATCCAAAAAACCAAGCCGGTTCAAGTTTTATACCAAAAAATTCCTTGCGTTCTTAGCTACATGATGGGTGAAACAGTTTTTTAAAAAAGTTAATATTTCATAGATAAAAAGAGCACTCAAAATGGGTCTCTAAAGATATTCGGTTAACCAACTCAGTATCACATTTTGAGTGCTCTTTTTATCTATGAAATATTAACTTTTTTCAAAAACTGTTTCACCCATCATGTAGCCAAGAATGCAAGGAATTTTTTTTGATATAAAACTTGAACCGGCTTGGTTTTTTGGATTTTGAGAAATTTGACGGCGCTGTTTTGAACGTTTTCTATTATGGCGCTGTTTTGACTACCCCCCGAAAATGTAGCTGACGATGAGATCTAGTGGGGGATTAAAGTGTTGAGCTTCTGTGAAAGCTTGGAAACCGTAAAATAGTCACCAACTCGGCTCGCTTGGGTGCACTATTATTAGAGAAAATACGGTAGATTTTTTTTCTTCTTAACGTCGTGCAAACCTCTTATTCTTTTTCCATTTTTATTTGTTTTTCTAAAATTTAAAAAACTGTCCCAAACATTTGTAGTTATAAATTATCGTTTTTTGCTTAAAATCTTCACAATTTTTTAGGTCACACCCTACCCGAAGAGCACGATTGAGCCTCCTCTGACACTGGACAGTCAATTTGAATGAGTGTACTTTATGCTCGGGTAAATGCAAGCCTACTGGTTCACCAGCTTTGTCTTTTTCACAATAAATCAGTTTCTTTTTAGCTTAAATGTTGAAATGTAGACTTTGTAAAGAATATGGCAAAAAGTTTACGCTTACGGCTACAAAGTACAACCAAATTTCGACCAGATCACCAGATTTTTCCTTTTTTCTCCTTCATTTTTCTTTTCTTTTCTTTTTTTCAACGGGTTTTTTGTGTGAATATTTTGCTATAAATAAATCTTTCAAATTTTTATTTGTTTCTAATGATAATCAGGACACGGGGTGAGCTGTGTGTCGAAAGCGTTGTAGACAGAGTCCTGGAAATCCTCGATCTACACCTGTTCACTTTAAAATGCTTAAAAACATTAAGCTTATAAAAGAATTGAGCTCTAAGAGAACTAAATCTCTTAGAGCTGTTATTGTTATTGTTAGATGTTACATCTAACTGTTATTGTTAGATCAACTTCTTAGAACAAGTATCTCTATTTTCAACTCAAATAGTGGAACGGAGTGGCATTTTGATTGGCCTTGAATTGACCTTGAATGAAAATGTTTCAAGTCTTTCAAAAGGCTCAATTCATCAAGACAATCTTTTTAAGCATTAGCAAAGAAGAACAGGAATCTGATAGAAAAGAGTTGAACAGTTTAAAGATTGATGGGCCTTGATTGGCCTTGATTAGCCTTGATTGGCCTTGATTAGCCTTGATTGGCCTTGATTAGCCTTGATTGGCCTTGATTAGCCTTGATTGGCCTTCAATGAAAATCTTTCAAGTCTTTGAAAAGTCTTAAATCATCAATATAGTCTTTTTCAGAATTTCGCTTCAAACTAAGCATTAGTCTGTAATAGTTTTTATCTTTAAGGTCCTTTTTCCTCACCAATGCCACTTTCAAGATATTGCAGTAATAAGCTTATAAAAGAATTGAGTTCGGACAGTTATGAGAGTCAAAAAAAGCCTAGTACTGTCACTGTTAGATCAACTCCTTACAAGTATCTCTTTTTAGAACCCAAACGCAAGAACGCAGTGACATTTTGGCTCGGCTCGAAAGAAAATGTTTAAAATCTTCTCAAAAGGCTCAAATTCATCAATATAGTCTTTTTGAGAACGCTTTTATACATTTCAGACTACATTATTGATATACTAAACAATCAAATAATTTAGTGAATCTTATAGAAAAGAGGTGAACAGTTTAAAGATTGATTGAGCTTGATTGGCATTGAATAAAATATTCAAATAGTAGAACGGAGTGATATTTTGATTGGCCTTAAATTGGCATTGAATAAAATATTTCAAGTCTTTGAAAAGACTCAATTCATCAAGACAATCTTTTTAAGAACCTACCTTCAAAATAAGCGTTAGCTTGAAATAGTTTTTAACTTTAAAATCTTCTTTCCTCACCAATGCCACCTTCAAGATATTACAGTAGAAAACGCCGGTATTGTAGTTGCAACCATTCGTGAAGACAACCGAATAACCTGAGATATATGTGTCATAGGCTCTAAAATCGATTTGACAAACGCAAATCTATGCTCACTAACTGGCAAACGGGGACTCCATTTGCGATATTTGTGTTTAAATCGTCTTCACATTTCTGAAAATTCTTTGTATTATTATTACAAGTCACTTTAGATTTAAATTGAAAAAATTTCCTTTCTTTACCTGCAATGTGCCTGCTTGTTTCTGTTGAACGGCTTTCAAGCAGTAGAACTCGGTGAGGAACACTGAAAAACGGGAATTGATATCATTCTTTGCCTTTGCCAAGTAGAGAACCGTATTTGAGATTTAAGTTTGATTGTTTAAAGTTCTTCTGGTTTGCATTCTAATGTTCTTCTAATGTTCACAAAGGCCAGTGACCAGTGGAATAGGAACGAAGAGGAACAAGACAACGAGCAGCTGATGACGAACAGCTTCATCCTCTTTTGGTTTTATCTCTGCTCTAATTGGCATCTTTTTATATGGCTATCAGGTGTTTAAGTTTAGAATAGAGCTTCTAAAACTGAAGATCCGAAAACTGACAAAAGTCCTATTTTTAAATCAGCACGAGCAAATTTGAAGCGTTTTTTAAGTGATTTTAAAAATAGAGCCCAAAGAGTTTCAGCGCTCAAAACTAACTACTCATTCTTTCTAAAATTAACTGCTAGCAGTCAGATGATCAAAGATTTAGGCTCGCTTTCACCACACCACTTAATACCGTGTATTTAAACAGTCTGAGTGTGCTTTGAATCTTTGACTTCTGAAATAATCTTTATTTAAACAGTCTGAGAAGTACAAAGTCATAAAAGTCCTACAAGAAACTTCAAACAGATCATTGAGCAGTTGCAACAATGATCTGCCGTTCATATCCATTACAAGAAGTTCGTTCAATCATCAGTAGACTTAGGCTCTTCACGCGGAAATACTCAACACCGGTGGCCTTCCGCTCCGAGACAGAAAACAAGAAACGGTTGCTCATGATCTTCTCTTCGATTGCCTGAAAAATTATGTAAATAAACTCTTGAGTTTTAAGATTTTATCTTGATTTTACATTTTTCAAGCAAATTTCGATCGATGAAACGAATTCGAGGAAAGGAAAAAACTGAACTGAATTCATAAGATCGCATTTGCATTCATAGCAGAAAGAATACTAAACACACCTGAAACGAGGACGGATTTCCTTTCATTGGAGGACTCTCGCCGTCCACTGACTCCAAATTGTTTAGTTTCTTTGAAAAACCGCTCTTTGGATCGATCCACTCGGCGTCATAAACATTTTTGAGGAGATCCGTGAGACTTAAGTCGCCAATTACAGATTTGGCGACCGAAATTAACAAAATCGCTTCCTCGGATATGGGAATGAAATTCTCATCGTAAACTTTCTGAACAGCTTCCAGAAATTTCTCTTTCGAGTAGCATCGGAGTGTGTAAAACTGGGGATTCTTTATGGAAAGAGCCGCGAGTGGGAGAGAATCACTGAAATGAAGACACTTGGCTCGACTGAAAGCTTCCTTTGAGAGTATTTCTCTGTAATCTCTCTCCTTGAGAACAATTTCTTTGCTTATTTTCAATTCTTCTTCGACAGTTGGATGTAGAAAGTCCTTTAGAAGCTCTTTAGCGCCCATAGCTGCCTTAGAATCTCTTCCACAGACAATCAGCTTGGCCACTAGTTGAAGACTCGAGAGGAGTTGATTCTCTCTGAAGAGATATTCCATACAGGAAATGTTCTCATCTTTCTTTCTTTCTATTGGAGAAAGCTTGACTCTTAGCAATTTGCATGTGGTGATTTTCGAGAGAACCGAGAAAAGAGACCAATCGACCACAAAATCGCTGCTTGATACATGAGCATACCGATCTTTTTTCTTGTTTCGAATGCAGATCCGATTGGGGCCATAAAGCGATTCCGGAGCGAACCATGAAGAAGTGAGCGATAAAGGTCGGGCCCTTAAGCAGAGGGAATCCCCTAAACCAAAAGAAATTACTACATTACTGTATCGGTAATGATAATAGTTGATGTCAATCTCGATCTCGTGAATGCGTGAAGGTAGAATTCCTTTTCTCAAATAGAATTGACGGGATCGTTTGTCGATTCGTAATGCGTTGAATGAGTCCGAGAAATGGACGGATCTCAGCACGGAATCTTGCAAAAGACTGGGCAGAAACGGATAGGGAAACAGTGGCATTGGAAGTGATCAAAAGAAATGATGGAAGATCGCTTAATAGAATATGTGAAAAAGGTTTGCCTGTTGTTCGTGAACCCAGGCCGATCGATTCCGGGATGGGTGATCTCTCTCTCTCTCTCTCTATCTTTCTCTTGGTGATCACTCTATTACATGCCAATTCATTTGCCGACCATCTGCCGTATTTCCTCGTCATTTCTTGATCACTGTGTGTGAGAGAGTTAAAATCAAAAAATAGTTTAACCTGGTTAACAAAAAACTGAAGGGAAATCAAGAAATCGTTTTGTTATCCAGGTTCTAAAACACTAAAATATTCGATTCGGTGCCAAATAAGTTTTATTGAGGTTTTTCTGTTATCCAGCTCCTTTTTTTAACAAGATTTCACTTCTAAAATTTTTACTTAATAGTCTCATCTTGCATCAGTCATGGTCTTTGGGGGGTATCACTGCCACAGGCAAGACTCCGCTGGTCTTTGTTCCACAGGGTGTCAAGGTTAATGCCGACAATTCTCTGGATGTTCTAAAAGCAGATGTTCTTCCTTGGGCAAATCAACATTTTGGAAACCGGTTGTGGACATTTCAACAGGACGGTGCGCCGGCACACAAGGCCAAAAAAGTGCAAGACTTTTGCCAGCAAAATTTTCCAGATTTAATCTCTTTCAATGAGTGGCCGCCAAGTAGTCCGGATCTTAATCCGATGGATTTTTCTGTTTGGAGTGTCCTTGAAGCCAAAGAAGTCAAAACCACACCAAAACTGTTGATAGTTTGAAAAAAACGCTCGAAAAGGCTTGAAAAGAGCTGGATGATGCACCTCGCACCGCACTTTCTCGCCACGGTCGACGCTTTTCCACAACGTTTGGATGCTTGTGTAAAAGCTAATGGAGATCTGTTTGAAAGGAAATAGTTTTTATGAATTTTTATGAGACAATAAAAGTTATTTTTAAGAAAAATCTTTGACCTTTTATACAGAGACTTTTGTATATGTAACGGTAATTTTGGCCCACCCTCTATAATAGGTGTACAATAGTTTTTTAATACTGGAAACGTGACGAAACGTAACGGAATAAAAGACTTTTATTGGTTTGTGAGCACCCGTCTAGTACAAGCTTGTTAGTAAATTACTTTTGAGCAAGCAAAACTGATTTTATTGTTAAACTTCTGATCGAACCGCCCTTCAGAGGAGAAAATAAGAAGTGCACTCTTACTATTTTGTAATAAGGAGGGAGAAAAATAGAGCGAAAAAGTCGCTAGTAGAAATTTTACGGTGATTTAGTCGCGAGAGAAGCTTATGCTTGATGTTAAATCACTTTTGAAGAATCTCTTGAAGGATTTACGAACGATCTTTTGCTTCTGTTTCTCCCTAGATGACCAGCAAATATCTTCTTAGGATCATCGGTAATCTTTTGGAACTGTGGAAGAAAAAAAAGCCTCAATAGAGCCTCTCAAGCTCACAGAATCGAAGCATCTGCTGAAATCGAAGCACTCACAGAATCAAAGCATCACAAAGTCGATATTCTTTGTTAGGAGCTAACGTCACGGTGAATCGATAGTATTAAAATGCTCGAAAATCGAAGGGAAAGAGGGGGGAAATATAAAAAAAAAAACCCACCACAAGAGAGGAGAAAAAATCCCCAAAGAAATTTTTTTACATCATTACACAGTTGTTTCTCGTTAGAATCCCAATTTCAATGGGAATCAAAGGAATTGTGAAAAAATCTCTTTTATTCTTTCTACTTCACGTAGCTAATGGAGAACATACCAATAAAGGCTTTTGATCTGACAGAACCGGTAAATGTTGTGTATTTTTCTTGTTTTCTATAGGTTTTCTTGTCTATTAATCCCAAAATGATAAAAACACGACAAATCCAGCTAAATTGAGTGCTTGAAATAAAGCGAAAAAGAGAATGTTCTGATGAAATATTTGGAAAAAGGACGACCGAACGGAGCTCATCATCGACATTTCACTGAACAAAGAGACAAGTAATGTTAAATAAGTAAGTTCAATTAACTCAAACCTCCCTCCACCCTTTTCCATTGATTTTCCATTCTGTTGCTGCTCCTGCTTTCTCGGATTCGGTAAACAATGAATAGTGATGACGATAGAGGCGATTGAAGTGATCCCCACACAGCAAACCACGTAGATTCCTAAAGCCGGCATTTTGGATTGTATCATTTCCTTTTTCAAGGACTTATTAAAAAGAATATACCGTAGAATACTGTAATAGAGAGCCTAGAGGTGCATACGGTGCATACTAAAAAACTGCTTGAATCGTACCTTTCAGCAAACCCGTACAGTCGCGTAGTCGCAAAAGTTTTTTAGTATTTCATTTTTTGCAAAGCACCCGTACTTTCAAAAAATGCGTCTTTGGTATCAAAAAATAGCTGAAATTCAGGGCTATTTTTTGATACCTAAGCGCGCATTGTAGCATAAACCAGTGTCGAGAAAAACTCGTTCAAAGCTAGACTACGCAACACTTCACTCGCTTCGTCATTATCGTGCGAGAGAAGCCTTTTAAGCGAGATATCGCAAACTTCTATGCCAGATATCGGGCAGGCGTATGGGCAGCTGATTTTTGCAACATTTTGATCAGCCTAGTCAATTCTACAACTTCTATTTTGGCATTGGGCAATCAGCGCATTGTAGCATAAACCAGATATCAAAAAATAGCTGAAATTCAGGGCTATTTTTTGATACCTAAGCGCGCATTGTAGCTTAAACCATTGTCGAGAAAAACCCGTTCAAAGCTAGACTCCGCAACACTCCGCATCGTCATTATGGGGATGGGGTACTATTTACAGTATTTACGGTATGTTTCTATACCCAGTAGCGGAAAGACGTTTGTTTTCGGAATCGAGTCTGAAAGCATTTCCAAAAGCACCGTCATTGAGACGAGGCTCGTTAGACCGATCGTTAACTAAACAAAATTATCCCCTTTTTTTCTGGCTCAATCCATAGGGCCGTGCTGTGCCGTGCCGAATTTTCTTTCAAACGTAACTCAACGGTGCTTATGTTAACTTGCTCAGCAAAATATCTAGGCTTAAATGCGAATTTGATCTTGCCCGTGTCCTCTTACCTTAACAAGCTGCTCCTTTTTCACGTTCGGCGTCCAAAACATTCCAACAATTGACAAAGTTGTCAGGATAAAGCACGGCACCGCGAGGACATACACATAAAAGTTGGGGACTCGCTTGATGCTCATCATAAAGGCCACCTGAAAACAGCTCTTCACGGTGAAACGAGCTCAGCGTACAAAGTCTATTCCATTTTGAGAAACGCCGAACGTTGTAATGTTCGTCACGTTCCATTCGCCGTTTCCCTAAAAGAAAACGTGATCGAAGTCGAGCTTTCCGAGCTTTAAAGCTCTCTAGAACATCTTTTCATAGTAAATTGGAAGCATTACAATTATTAATTCACGATGAGGCTGTTTCTCTGCCCAAATTCTCAAAAATTTATGAAATAGTGCCGCTATTGATCAAAAATTATGAGCCAACGATGGCTCAAATGTATTGCTCAAATGGGGGGTAGTCAAAACAGCGCCATAATAGAAAACGTTCAAAACAGCGCCGTCAAATTTTTCCCAATCCAGAAAACTAAGCCGGTTCAAGTTTTATATCGAAAAAATTCCTTGCATTCTTGGCTACATGATGGGTGAAATAGTTTTTAAAAAAAAGTTAATATTTCATAGATAAAAAGAGCGCTCTAAAGTCTCTAATCGGCCTCTAAAGATATTCAGTTAATCAATTGAGTATCACTCGACTTAATATAATAATGTTAATATAATAACGAACCCAAGAAATGTAGGATTTTGTTAGTAAGGCTCTGCCTTCCATCGTTTTTGTCATCTTATCAACAACCTGAAACGAGCTAATTTATGAGCTAAAGTCGGAACGGTTTTGAACTGAAAACGGTTTTATTGTCCATTTCCGCGTAGAATTCCGTAATTTTCTTTTTGTATTTTACACCGTAAGTGACTTTAGACTGTAGTTTGATCGACGGTAGTTTGATCTAAGCCTTTAGGCGTTTTACAATTACCAAATTCTTCATTGTTCATTTTTTGTAAATTAAATATACAAAAACTCTTTAGTCAAAGCAAACAAAAAGTGACTTTAGTTCACTAGGAAACTAGAATTTTTGCTGAAATAATTCGAATTCAGAGTCAGGAAACTCATCACTTTTATGAGACAAAAAAAGACCTCAGTGTCAGTGTATTGGTTGAGGAATGGATCGATGCCGACAGAGAGCGACAGAGACTTGCTAAACTTTAAATTATCAACCCGTTATGCCCCCGATCTCACTCATCAAAAGTCAATGAAATGATCGAGATGGCGCAGAGTTGCTTGTCAAATGGAAAGGTGCTGATCTAGGACAAAGACATCATTCTTTTTGTGAAGAGAATCTCACAATGATTGGACAAGCCACTTCAGTGTAGTAGAACACCGGTAAGTAGATGGATCCGTTGCTGAATACTTGCGCCGTTCTTGTCGACTCGTCAGCTTTCACCGAGTCGAGAGTTTTCCTATACTGTAATACTGTAATACTGTAATTGAACGGCATCTCCTCATCGAGTCGCATAGTCTAACTTCTTTTTAGAAGAAGTCTAGCTTCTTTCTTCCTTTCTCAGCCCCTAGATTTTTTCCAACTACATTTTTAAGACTAAAAAAAATACTAGATTTCAAGGGCTATCATTTGACACCCAAGCGCGCACTGTAGCATAAAGCAGCGCGGAGAACGAAGGGTTTAAAGTTAGACTACGCGACGATACGCCGTAAGTATTGGGATGACGTTCTATTACAGTATTTATGGTAGGTGAAGTTTTGTACTAATATAAACTTACCGTAAATATTGTAATAGTACCCAGCTTGGCTTAAAAGCTCAACCTATATAGCTTACCTCAAATCTCAGGTCTCCAGTTGGATTCGCCGCAAATGGCACCGAATTGTACACTTCAGCAAAGGTATTCTCATGCTTTAAAGAGAAATCTATTAATATTCAATCAAAAAAACAATAAACCTAATCAAAAACTAATCGAAAACAGATGAAAATCCCCTCGTTACCTTCTCGATTTTCCCTTGAATCACTCCATACTCAGTTTTCGCAAAAGCGAAACTCCCGAAATCGGGGAAAGTCGGCAAAGCGTTACAATAAGCAATGAATAGAATTGAGATTTGTAATTGCATTTGCATTAGTCGAATTATAGAATAGAATTATAGAATAGATTTAGGACTAGAGAGAAGTTTTGCCTAAAAACTTGGGAAACTCGGGGAAAACTCGGAAAATGCCCCCTTTTTGACCGTTCCCCTATGATTTCTCTGAACTCTCACCCGCCGTTTTCCCTTCTTTTTCTTCTTCAAAAATATAAACCAATTACTGAAGGTCAATCATTTTTACACAAAAAAAATCCCTTTTACCTCGTTTTCCCTCAAATTTTAGATCCTTAGAGTCCCGCATTTCTTTTTTTTCCTTCTTTTAACTTCAAACCGTTCGACAGAGATTGACGATCAAGATACCATGAATGAGACTGTATTTTGTGGTTATCAAGATTTATGTTTTCCTGTTTTGCTGTTTTACCCATTTCCAACTACACCTATAGATTTTTTTTGAATTCAAAGTAGAGAATTGAGTAAAGAAATTTGAGCTCAAAGTTGGAGCTCAAAGTTGCTCAAAGTTGAGCTCAAAGTTGAGCTCAAAGTTGGATGCGCTAATGGGAAATGTTTTTCTAATGGGCGATCTTGTTTTTGCCTGTGAAATGCTTTTACAATATATCTTTTTTTCATTGTTTTAACTTTAGACAAGAAGCCCAAACAGTCCAATTGATCAATGTGGCTGGCTTTGGTGCTTGTGCTCTTTATGGCCTCATTTAGACATCGAAATTCTTCACAGTTAAGAATAAAATCCCAATGAGGTGAAAGCAGAAGCCCTTCTTTCTCATCGACTTCGAAAAAACCTTTAATTTTGAAATGCAACCCCATTTCGGTGCCTATTTCCCTCTAGTGATCCTCTCTTGTTTCAAGATTTATCTTTTGCCCATTTCGAACTGCACCTATAGATTTTTTTGAATTCAAAGTAGAGAATTGAGTAAAGAAATTGGTACTACGGAACAAGTGGAAGATGTGACCTCACACAGTTCAAATATCAACTGGATTGAAAGATTGAGTGCTCAGTGTAATGTTATGAAGTCTTTGGTGTGATCGAATACTTGCTTCACAAAAAAAATGACACGTTTATTGCTAAAAGGTTCAATGTCGATACCACGGAAATGAAACAAACAAACAAAAAAAATTGAAACAATCACCTTCAGTTGGGTTGGAGTTGAGCGGGAATTTCGGCTTTGAGAATATTCGTTTCGGACTCGAATTGAAAATGGTCTAGATTTCCTGTAAGTCCAAAAAAAAGCCAGACTTTGGTTTAGCTTTGATCAGAGGCTAACTTCTGATTTCTTTCACAAGCCTATAGCTTGGTTTGAAGATTTCTAAAACCACGTTCTAGGATCTAGAAGAAGAATGGGTATTAGTCGTTATTTCTTCAATATATCAAAGCTTTGATTGAAAGCTTTTAAATCGATTTTATCCTTTTTCATTCCAGGTTTTCTCTCACTTTATCACCCGGAGTTGAGCGGGAATTTCGGCTTTGAGGATATTCTTTTCGGACTTGAATTTGTCAAGGTAGAAAAAGAAATTTAGAAAACTGAAAGAAAGATTTATTTAAAAACAATGAAATGAAATGAAATTTCCAGCGTAATGCCGAGAATTTCGGCGGTGATCCGAACCGAATCTGGTCCTTGTCAAGGTAGAAAGATAAATTTTAAAAATTAGAGCAAAGATTTATTTAAAAACGTCAAATCACAAAATTTCAACAAACTATCAAAGGAGACTCAAAAATTGAGATCAAAGAAGCCTTTTATAGCTTTCATTGTAAAGTTACTTAACCAACGATCAAGTACGTTTTAAAGGGCACTTTTTAGAAATGCAAGCCGTTAGTTCACTTGTGTAAGGAATGAGAGACTGAACAATCAGGCTTGTTGGGCAATTTTTCTAGGTCAGACTAGAAGCCAGGCTTTTCTCGATATGCAGAATTCATGGATGAATCTGGCTTAGTCTAGCTTACAGGGCTCGCTTGGAACGTCTCGAATGACATAAATGCTACTAACATTTTAACACTGTTTTCACCGTCTTTCCATAGCTGCTTTTTAAGTTCAAAGATGTGAATTAAGATAAGAGTTTGGGGTGCGACCAGCTTTAACCTTGTCATCGGGGATGAATTTGCTTCAGAATAGCCGAGTAGCACAAAAAGGTTTAAAAGGGTTTCCCCAAAACGCTTACAACATAACAGGAAAACGCAGTATCTAACATAAGGGGAATACTCGTGATAAGAGTACAGAACGGATTGATACTTCGTCGATGGTGACACAAATGTTAGTAAGTTCTTTCTACAGTGTTAAACCAGCTACCGTAAATACTGTAATTGGACCCCATTGGGTACTATTTTTTCCCTCCTCCTCTAGGGTGGGGTACTATTAGAGGGTGGGTCACTATTTTACACCACTATACAAGTTACCAAATCAAGATACATTCAAATAATTTTTTCAAAAGCAAACTTTTTCTCTAGTTTTTATTGGTTTTAACCATTTGAACCATTTTTATTGGTTTTAACCAACGAAACAGAAACAACTAACAAGCAAAATCAATAGAAACATCCGAATATTAGAGGGCGGGGTACTATTAGAGGGGGGGGGGGATCCAATTACAGTATTTACGGTATCTAAACAGGATTTAAAACCTGAAGGGTAGAGCATAAAGTAAATTGAATTTATAATTTTACTGTTTATTAGAACAGAACCAAAAATGCAACGATACCCATTATAAAAACAGGATGCGCATGAATAGAAACATCAAAGTCCCCCAAGAACGAAGGCAAAAGCCCCAACTTCAAAAAGGGCCAGAAGCTCTGCCAAAAAACCCCCCTCCTTCAATCAAGATTAATTTCGGGAAGGGAGAAAAAGACGAAAAAATGCGACGTGAATAATGCAAAATAAATGCAAAATAGGAACGCAAAAGGGAAGGAAACGGATGCGGCCTAAGGAAAAATGAGATCAATTGGATTGGATATTCTAAAATTGGATACTAATTGGATATTCTAAAATTGGATACTCATTGGATCTTTTAAAATTGAAAGTGCTTAAAGTATTTCAGGATCCTGTAAAACCTAATCACTTGTCTCACTATTGAAATCTATTCGTTCCTAGATCTCTTTTTTTCAATTTTCATCCATTTCTAATCCTAACCATTGAATTAAAATAAATTTTGAAAAGATTTGGTTAAAAAAACGAAAAGTCTAGAAGTAAAAACAGTAAAGAAAATAATAATAATACTTTATTCAAACGATAAAGTGAAAGAAATCATAGAGAAATGCACAGTGATACTTAATCATACAATACATACTGAAATCAATAAGCCAATTACTTACGGCAAAGAGCCACTAGATCTAAAGCATCGATACGTTTCTTGAATATGAAAAGCGACTGAATTTCTCGTATGTCGTTTGGGAGCAAGTTCCATAATATAGCGGCTCTAACGGGAAATGAATTTGATAAAGAGGCATTGGAAGCAAGGGGAATTTGCAAAAGGAATGAGCCACTTCTGGGCCCTGACCGCGGTTTAAATTTGAAAAAGTCTATAAACAAAGGGCTAATCTGTTTACAACGGAGGATTTTGAAAGTTTCGACTAAATCAATGACAAAGCGACGATGCTGTAAAGTTTTTAGTTCAAAAAAAGCATGTGGTTTGTCACTGAAAGAAAATGAAACTAATATAATAATAATACTTTATTCAAACGATAAAGTGAAAGAAATCATAGAGAAATGCACAGTGATACTTAATCATACAATACATACTGAAATCAATAAGCCAATTACTTACGGCAAAGAGCCACTAGATCTAAAGCATCTAAAAATCTAAAGCAGAAAAGAAAAAAAAAAAAGAAAGAATACAAAGCTAAATTTTCGAATTTTTTGGAACAATTAAAGGCTAGCAAAGAAATAATTAAAAAGAATAAAGGAAAATATTCGAATAAATGAACAGTCATCTGAACAAATAAAAGATAAAAATTGAAAAATTGCAAGTCTGTCGATTGTCTGTCAATATCGATTAAAAGAGAAATGAACAGAGGAAAGCTTTGATCGCGTTTGAAAATCCGAGATTTCTCCGAGAACCGGATTTCTCATCTCTTTTTTCGTCTCTCACACTTTTCGAGTTGCAATTTCTTAAGTTTATTTCCTCTAGAAACTTATTTATCCAGTTAAATGTCGACTACGGGTACGATTTTTGGTCTCCTTGGAAGTTGCATTGGATGCATGGCGATGATTGAGGATATGAGGAGGTGAGAAGTTAAGAATGTGTCTCAACCCAGCCCCAACTAGTAGACATAGGAAAATTCCAAGCCAAACCTAATTCCACCTTTGTTTTCTCAGCCGATTCCTCTAAAATTTTGTCTACAGATTAGCTTGTAGACGAAATTTCAGAGCAATCGTCTAAGAAACGGCCGAGAAAACGAAGATGGAATTGGGTTCGGACTGAAATTTTCCCATATTTACTAACTACCGTAAATACTGTAATAGTACCCCACCCCCACAATGACGGTGCGGAGTGTTGCGTAGTCTAGCTTTGAACGAGTTTTTCTCGACACTGGTTTATGCTACAATGCGCGTTTATTTATCAAAAAATAGCTCTGAAATTCAGCTATTTTTTGATACCAAAGACACATTTTTTGAAAGTACGGGCGCTAATAGTAGCGCCACTTCCCCCCCCATAATGACGGTGCGGAGCGTCGCGTAGTCTAGCTTTGAACGCATTTTTCTTGCCACCCGTTTAAGCTACAGTGTTCGTTTATGTATCAAATGAAAGCTGAAATTCAGGGCTATTTTTTGATACTAAGCATGTATTTTTAGGAATTATGGACGCTTAGAAAAAAATGAAATACTAAAAAACTTTTGCGACTACGCGACTGTACGAGGGGGGTGGGGTCCAATTACAGTATTTACGGTAGGTATTTCAATAAAAGTAAAGCCTGTAAGCTGAACCGAAATCGTTTAAACTTTGCTTTAAAAAAACTTTCTGAAAGTTATCTCATTGATTTATTATAGTCTATAGTTTATAATCATTGACACCTTTTCCCATTAGCAATCTAACTTTGAGCTCAAATTTCTTGGTGTTAGGCTGTTCAATTTATAAATTCTTGATATCATTAGATGCGTCAAGCATTTCTCTGTCGATTGGTATAAAAAATATTAAAATTGAACAGCTCTACACCAAGATATTTGAGTTCAAAGTTGGATTACCAATAGCGGGCATGGTTGTAGGACCTTTTATACGCCCCCCGCTCCCTTTGCCATTAGCAATCAAACTTTAAGCTCAAATTTCTTAGTGTTAAGTTGTCAAATCTCCATATTTTTGATATTATTATATTCGCCAAGTCTTTCTCTATCGATTGGTATAAAAATGATTTCAATTGAACAGCTAAACACGAAGAAATTTGAGTTCAAAGTTAGATTGCCAATGGCAAAATGGGCGATTCGAAAATCTTGCTTTTGTCTGTGAAAAATTGTTACAATATATCTTTTTTCATTGTCTTAATTTTAGACAAGAAGCCCAAACAGTCCAATTGATCAATGTGGCTGGCTTTGGTGCTTGTGCTCTTTATGGCCTCATTTGGACATCGAAATTCTTCACAGTTAAGAATAAAATCCCAATGAGGTGAAAGCAGAAGCCCTTCCTTCTCATAGACTTCGAAAACACTTTGAAATTAGAAATTTCAACGCCATTTCAGTGCCTACTTCCCTCTAGTGATCCTCTCTTGTTTCACCAATCAACTCAACATGCAAGCGCTTAGCTTTTACTTGCCATTTCCTCTACATATTGTTTTACGATCAGTAAGAGATTCTTAGATTCTTAGATTCTTAGATTATCAGATTCTTAGATTCTTAGATCTTTAGATTCTTAGATTATCAGATTCTTTGATTTTAAAGCATTATCAATTGAATTCAGATCAATTGCAGGGTTCTCTAATCACTTCACTAACTCTCGATGTATTTTGGCTGAAAAAGCGATACTCATCCAGGAAATATATCTCGGTTTTTCTTGTAACAACTGGAATAATCACTTGTACATTGGCTTCTTCGCAAAAAGTGTGAGAAAACCTATTGCTCTTTATTTTTATCTATGATTTCTTTTCAGAAAACCAATCAACAACTGCATGAACATTTTGGGGAAATGCTATTTGGTAAAGATTTTTTTTGCATAAAATTTGTGTACAAAGTTAACGATGAGTTTTTTGCTTTCTATGAAATATCATTTTTCTTGAAACTAGAATCATAGAAAAGCTAGAATTCTATAATTCTATAATTCTACTAATCCTAGAATTCTAGTAATTCTATAATTCTATTGGGTTGGGGAGAATGAGTCGGCGCCGAAAATGAAAAAAATGTCTAAAACTTCTATTCGACTTCGTCAAATAATATGCGTTTGATACTCATAGAATGGTTAACTAATTCTCTACAAAATGACATTTAAAAGAAAATTCAAACAGCGCCTCCGCTCAAGAAAAAGGCATTTTTTCACAAAAACTACAAACTGTGATCTAGAAAAAACCATTGGTGGGATCTTCCTGCAAATTTGGCAACTTAAGTAATTCAATGTGCTCTATCTTTTTTATATAAACACCAAAGAAGGTTTCTGTGAAAGAAACTGTTCAAATGATGAGTCGGACTCTTTGCCATTTTAACCAGCTGCGTTTGGAAGTTCATAAACTCCACGAAAGAAAAGCTTTGTGGAATCTCTCAAAAGTGATTTTGTAGAGAAATAGTGGATCCTTTTGATCAAACCAAACGTATGTTTAAAGAAGGCTTTATGTGTGCAAAAAGTCCCTTTAAAGTTTGGCGCCGACTCATTCTCCCCAACCCAATAGTAATTCTATAATTCTAGAATCATAGAATTCTATAATTCTATAATTCTAAAATTCTAAAATTCTAAAATTCTATAATTCTATAATTCTGAAATTCTATAATTCTAAAATTCTAAAATTCTATAATTCTAAAATTCTATAATTCTATAGAAGGAGAGCGTGCTTAAATGTTCACAGCACTGAACCATTGAAAACCCCAAACCCAACGGCCCTCTTTAGGGCCACAAATGATAGAATTTTAAAATGGAATCATGAACAAGACTCTAAATATAAGGAGTTCTGTCAAATCAATGCTCTGAAACTAAAAGTTTGTCAAGAAACTCTAAATGAACTTCCGAGCGAACTCCATGTCTATAATTCTATAATTCTATAATTCTAAAGTTCTATGACTAGTTTCTAGTAAAATTGAAATGTTCAATTGAATTGTGCTTGAATTTCTCTTTCTCCTCAAAGATTACGATTACTATAGTTGAAAGGCTCTCCAGCTAAAAGGCGACTTTCCAGGTGTTTTCCTCTCAGTAACCTCTCTTTTTGGTGCTTCACTTCTTTCCATCAAACAAAGTGATCTTTTCAAGAAACATGGAAGACATGTTGATGAAGCTTTTTTCAATTTGGTAAGCAATTAGAGTCCAAATTTTAAAGCCAATTTCACTAGGAAACTGCTTCAACTAAGCATCGATATTGAAAAATAGAAATGTCACCTTGAAATTCGAGGGAATAGATGTTTTTCAGTTTTACATAGTATTAAATTTCAAGAATAATCTCTAAACGAAAAACAATGCCGCCACGGTATAGGGCCGATTAACTCACCCGAGGCAACCGATTGGATGGTGTGGTGGATAGTGGGCCCGCCTGTGGTTCGAACCCCCGACTCCATCCCCTTGGTTCGAATCCACCTGCTGTCCTTTTCTTCCTCCTTTTTGTTTTTTCATTCAATAAAACAATTTTTAGTTATTTTAAAGTGTCTATAAACAGTAAGAAGGTAAATAGACCTATATCCTAAATCCTAGAGTTATTGGAGCATTCATAGTTGGGTACGAACTGTACAAGGATTGAAAAATTGATCCATTTGAAATTTCTAGTATTCAATCAATTTCTAAGAAAAGACTTTCAGCATTTCTTCGGTCTCCTCTGCCTTTTCCCATGGTTTTTCCAAATGAAAAAAGCAATGGGCGCAATGATTGATAGCCCGAATTTGAATCTTTTCGATGAATCATTTGGACCAAAACTTGTCATCGAATTGATCACAATGAGTCTATTTCAGTAAGCTTTCAGTAAAGCAGTAAAGAAAAAATCCTCCAATCCTTCTCGTACAGATTTTTCTGTCTCCGATCCGTTTTCCGATTGAACGCTTTGGTGGAACCGTTGACACTGATTTTGGTGCTGACACTGAGGAAATTTCTCTCGCTTATCTTCTCGATCTTTTACTTTCAGGTAAGAGATTTGAGAGTGATTGATAGACGAGGAAGTGAGCGAGTTAAATGAAATACAAAATGAGGTCACTTGTTTTTCATTTCACTTGTTTAACCGTTAAACGGTACTTCCTGTACTTCCAGATACTCTGAAAAGCTACATTTGAAAGCTTTTTTCGAGATACTTTAAAGGTTGACTAATCCATCATAAAAACATAAAACCTTTACAGATCTCAGCTACCGTAATCCGTAAGCAAAAGAAAGATCAAGTCCGGCTACGGCAGCTAGAGCTACGGTAGCTAGAGCTACGGTAACTAGAGCCACGGTAGCTAGAGCAAGTTTTAAAAAGCCTACTCAACTAGAAAAGCTCTCAAGTTGAATTGAATTTATTGTTTTATAGATGGCATTCCTTAGAGCACTTAATTGAAATGGGAAAAGTTCAAAAAACTTGTTTACTCTTTAACAAATTTGTACTCTTAACAAATTTGTACTCTTAACAAATTTGTACTCTTAACAAAAACGTGTACTCTTATCAAATTCCATTCCAGAATCCGTTCACTTTTCTACACTGGTTTGGGACATTTTTTGTCTTTTTCGGTGCAATTCTTTTTGAGGATGTTCTCGTGAAAAAAGTCTATAAAGAAAAAACGTTTGTCAATAAATGCATTATATAAATCGAAATTCTTTATTCTTTACCCGATAGCACACGTATTTTAAAGAAAGATCTTTTTAAAGAAAAAGATCATCCCTTTACGAGAATCGAACAGAGCATGATAATCAAAAAGGCGAATTCGATAAAAGTGACAATCGAGATTCCACAGAGGACACCAAGAATTCCGCCGAGATTTCCGAGGAATGTGTTGAACTGGAAATGAAATTTGTAGAAAACAGAGAAATTCCCTCAAAAGTTTAGCCATAGTACTTTTGTCTCTGTACTTTTCTCTCTGTACTTTTGTCTGTACTTTTGTCTCTGCACTTTTCTCTCTGTACTTTTCTCTCTGTACTTTTGTTCTTTATTCCTCAACCAGCAAAGAACGCCGCGGAAAAATAAAACCCATCCAAATGACTAAAACTACCGTAACCCATATTAAGCTTTGCCCCTTTTTAAAAATGGACCTACAAATCAGATTCCCCATAGCTGAAAACCCCCGGGAGAAAAATATCGCGCGCAAAAAGCTTTGCCTTTCAACCGATAGAGTAAACCTCATTACGGAGCGTCGCGTTTGTGCACAGGCGGACTGACAGACAGACGTCCCTTCTGTTTTATCTATGGTAGATTCATTGACAACTTCGACAGCATTTACGGCTTATTGATACAGTTAAATTTGAGCCAGAAATTGCTGCCAACGATTTGACATCGTGGCGCCAAAAGGACCATCTCAGAATTTCATCAGACTCCTGACACTTCCCCAACCACTTTTTAGGGCCCGCTCGGTTATTGTTAAACCTCAAATTTTGGTGATGAAACCTAACTTGGGTAATTAAACCGAAATTTTAGGGTCGCTTTCTGGATTGCTATCCGCTCCGCGTGCCAGATGGAGAGCGATTACGCGGCCGCACAAAGGACATTTTGCAGATTTTTCTTTTAGCTTTTACATTGCTTAAAAAGAAGATATTTAGCTTGAAATTTGTGGCCGGGGGTTTTCAGGGTCGGTGAATCGATTGAAGCTTTTCATTTCATTGAACCAATCAATTGGAACTGTAGTCTAATTGGGTCTAATTGGTCGAAACGTTGGTTTTAGAAACTGCCTCCAAAAAACTCACACTCATCACCGGTGTCTCCACATAGATCAATCTGGTCAATGATTTGAAGTTCACCTGAAAAATTTCGCTTATAAAATTTGGCTACCTTGGCTAATTTTGGAATTAAACCTCAATTTTCACTGTATCGAGAAAAGTCGTTTCACAAGCGGACACATTTGAGGCGAATGAGCACTCGTAGATCTGTAATGGATAGAGAAATGAAGGTAAAAACAATGGATTTCTATCTAATTATCATCAGAAAATCGATTTAAATCAAATAATCGATCAATTTCTACAATTTATTAAGATTAATTACTTCTTTTAGATATGGAGCCGATGACCAAGAGACGTCGAATTGCGAATAGAGACAAGGCTGCGGGCAGGAACAACCTGCAATTCATTTCCTCCTTCTAAAGTATGCCCAAGTTACCGTAGCCCCTAACAAGCTATCCCTCTAACATAGGTATTTCACTTTACAGTAAGATATGGAAGAAATTATCTAGGTTACTGTAGCTAGTCGGGTCACAGACTACGGACGAGCTTGATTTGACTTGATTTGATTTGGACAAGCTTGATTTCTTCTGGCAAACCAGTTTTGTGAAATGTAGATGCTCACGAAACAAGAAATCAAGTGACAAAGTTCCTCGGGTAATTTGCAGAAAGAAAACATTTGAATTTTCGCGTTAGTAAACAGAAAAAATGACAAATAATCGACTATTGGGCCACTTTTCAAGAGAAGCCAAGAGAGGCCTTTTCAACCTTTCAGAGCTCGAGCAGAGAGCAGCGAGCATCAGTTTTGGACTGATAAGGTTCCAATACGGTTTCAATACGGTTCCTATTTTGATCTAAAAGGTTCCAATAAGGTTCCAATACGGTTCCAATACAACTCGAGCATCAGTTTTGGATGTTCGTTGCACGAAATAACTCTATTATCTCTCTGTTTCTCATTAAACAGAGAGATAATAGAGTTATTTTGTGCAACGAACATCCAAAACTGATGCTCGCTGCTCGCTGCTCGAGCTCTGAAAAGTTGCTCGAAAAGATAGAAGAGAGTCTCATTCTTTTCTCAGAAATAGAGTCTCATTCTTTTCTCAGAAATAGAGTCTCATTCTTTTCTCATTCTCATTTCTGAGTGAGTTTAAAAATCGATAAACCTTATCGATTTTTGCAAAACTATTTCAGCTTTTAAGCTCTTTTATTTTATCGATCATTTCCTCACCTGGTAACGTTGCCGGATCGTCACCGTATGTCGTTGTGAAATCATTCAAGCAACTCCCTGAAAATCGATTTTAATCAATCAATTTTAATCATAGAGATTCTGGTTCTACCCCAGTCGGAAGCCGCTTTTTTTCCTCAAAAACCACTTTCTTTAAAGGAGTTTTATCTGTAGATTCCGAAAAACACAAGGAAAATTTGGGAAAAGACGTTTTAAATCGACTTTCCGCGCTTCAAAGTGATGCGCGGGATACGCATAGGGAAAACCTCTAAAAATGATCTCGTAAAACATTTTTTAAACCCAAAAACACTTCTTCTGATAGGATTTAACTTACTGATTATGTTTCTTGCAAAAAAATCTTGCATTTTGCTTCAATTTCTTGCGAATTAAAGCAAAATTAAAAAATTAAAAAAAAAAAAAATCGACTATGTGATCCCCCACATGAGTTTTGACTCATGAGTCTTAAAAATATTTTTTCGCTTTTTTTTGCCTCTACCAGTCAATTAAAGTCCTAAAATAAATATTTAGTGATTGAAAATGGTTTTGGCGCTAGTTTTGATCTTGAAAAGTGGCCCAATAGTCGATATATTGAGGTAAACTATAGAAGCACTTTGAAGCACTCAAACTCTGCTTAAAAAGCCATTTCCGAGGTTTCGTTGTGTTTTTCGGAATCATCGCATAAAACTAGCCCAGAAAAATTGACTCCCTAGACGGTATAGAGCCTAGATTTTTATTAGAGAGACTATAAAGACTATATAGACTATATAGACTAACGTATTCTCTCTAATAGTAGTGCCGAGCCGAGTTGATGACTATTTTACGGCTTTCAAAGTTTTCACAGAAGCTCAACACTCAAATCCCCCACTAGATCTCATTGTCAGCTACATTTTTCGACCCCACATCGATAGGTTTTGATAAGCGGTTTTCGAGATTTCGAGGAATTTAGGCGACGCTCTGGGTGCACTAATATTAGAGAGAATACGGTATATAGATTATATAGATTATATAGATTATATAGATTATATAGATTATATAGATTATATAGATTAGATAGATTAGATAGATTAGATTGATTAAATAGGCTATATAGATTAGATAGTTTTGAATCGAGTTTCTACTCACTTTGCGGAATATCACAACTGGGTTTATCAGCCGGGAATGGATAGCGTGGGTCCATACAACCACAAGCATTCATCAAAAGATCTTGGTAACAGGAACGATAGCAGCCCTGGAAATGAGATTCTTTTAAGCATTTGCTTTTAAAAGTTTTAGCCACGTCCCAAGTGCCGAATCTTTCGATATTCAGGGCTTACATCAATCGTGTATGTGCCAGTGTAGTAGTATGATTTGACATCACCGACTCCTTTTGCGCATTCTCCATACGGTTTGCCGAGTCGATGGTAATCCGTCTGAAAGTTGAATTTAAAAAGTAACAGAAATTATGCTCAATTTCCATTCTGAAAAGGTTCAAACATGGATGTAATGCTGAATTTGGACTCTAATAAGTCAAAATGTTTATTTTCTTTTATCTCTACAGTATCCCAGTGAATAGTAAAGCTTGTGTTTATGTTTTAAAAGTTCTTTTCAATCGCAGAAGGTTTTCAATATTTATGGCACCAATCTTCAAGGTTTAAAGCTCATTTATCCTACCGTAAATACTGTAATAGTACCCCCATCCCCATAATGACGGTGCGGAGCGTCGCGTAGTCTAGCTTTGAACGAGTTTTTCTCGACACTGGTTTATGCTACAATGCTCGTTTAGGTATCAAATAATAGCCCTGAATTTCAGCTATTCAGCTATAATTTCAGCTATTTCAGCTATTTCAGCTATGATACCTAAACGCGTGATTTAAAGTGACAGTCCTGAGTTTGAAGTGACGATACTTAAAGAATGTTAGAAAACTTCCAACTTCCAACTTCTAACAACTTGAGACTTCTTTAAAAAATGCTACCGTGATCGCTGTAATTTCATTTTGATTTCATTCGACGCAAAATTTGATTCTGCATCAAATGATAATCAAAATCGTCAAAATCAAAGAGTTCGTGCTGAGAAAAGCACGAAAGAAAAAGGATAAACAGATTACAAGTCTAGTATCGACTATCTACCGTAAATACTGTAATAGTACCCCACTCCCCTCTCGTACAGTTGCGTAGTCGCAAAAGTTTTTTACTAAATCATTTTTTTTCTAAGCGCCCATAATTCCTAAAAATACATGCTTAGTATCAAAAAATAGCCCTGAATTTCAGCTTTCATTTGATACATAAACGAACACTGTAGCTTAAACGGGTGGCAAGAAAAATGCGTTTAAAGTTAAACTACGCGACGCTTCGACCGTCATTATGGGGGGGAAGTGGCGCCACTATTAGAGGTATTACGGTAAGAATTGTTAGATTTCGCTTTGCTTTGACTATAGAAATAGATTAGATACTTGTGAAACGAAGAACTTCGTAAACATTCCCGATCTGACTTCCGTTCTCGACGATTCGGCGAAAATCGCCTCACCATTGTTATGGACGAAAACTAAGAAACAAAAATTTAAGCTTAAAAAAAGAACTAAAGCATGCTACCAGTAATCGCAGCCGTATCCACCCAATATGGATAGTCCGATGCGTGCACTTGGAGTTGAACATAAAGTCCTAGAATCTCAAAGAGGTATTTCATCATTTAAATCATTTCATCACTTTTATCGCTGCAAAAACCGACCTCCATTCCTTCCCGAATTTCTCATCAAAAAATTAGTGCTACTATTCGGATGATTAAACGTAAAACAATTCCCCAAAACCACATCGTTCCAGCGAAAGAATTCTTCTCTAAAGAATGGTGATTTGTCGAATTTTGAGACTCTCAGAACAGTCTAAACTCTCAGAACATCTCTCAGAACATTCCAATCCAGCTCACTCACTCAAAACTAATGACTTTTCTCTCATAAGCGGCATCTTCAAAGAAATCTGAGTAATCCCAGGAGAGAGCTTCTCGAATATCGGTGTCCATTGGGCCGGTGATGAATGGAATCAAATCTTGGAGTTTTGGTGGATGTTCTTGGAGATCGGCTCGGATCTGAATTATCGTATTTCTTCGAATAGAAGACCGGGTAAAGAGTATCATCGCGTAGCAGCCCTTTTGTAAAATCTCTTTTCTGCATTAAAAGCTTTCAATCAAGTGCTATAGGGCTGGAAAATGACTCAAAAATACGACATTCACTAACAGATTTTTGTGGGTACTATTACAGTATTTACGGGAAGTTTATATTAGTACAAAACTTGACCTACCGTAAATACTGTAATAGAACGTCACGCCCAATACTTATGACGTATCGTCGCGTAGTCTAACTTTGAACCCTTCGTTCTCCGCGCTACTTTATGCTAGAGTGCGCGCTTGGGTGTCAAATGATAGCCCTTGAAATCTAGTATTTTTTTTAGTATTAAAAGTGTAGTTGGGAAAAATCTAGGGGCTGAGAAAGAAAGAAAGAAGTAAAGTAAAGAAGAAAGAAGAAAAAGAAGACTTCTTCTAAGAAGAAGTTAGAGTATGCGAAAAAACTTTTGCGACTACGCGACTGTACGAGGGCGGTGGGGTACTATTACAGTATTTACTCAAAAATACCACATTCACTAACAGATTTTTGAGCCATTTTCCAGCTCTATAGCACTTCATTGAAAGCTTTTATGCAGAAAAGAAATTTTAAAAAGGGCCGCTACGCAGGAGCTACGCAGGAGCTACGCAGGAGTACGCGATGCTACTCTTTACCCGGTCTTCTATTCGAAGAAATACGGTAGATCTGAATTAAATCTTTCAAAGATCCTCTCGCTATTCTATTGGCGGCTTTTGAATGAGAATTTTGAATTAAATGAATACTGAAGGTGCTAGATTCAATGAAATGAATAGCTCCAATTGATTCGCCGACCTCGAAAACCCCTGGGCTTAAACTTAAAGCAAAGTATCTTCTTTTTAAGCCATTTTACAAAGCAAAAGAGAAATCTCTGTGTTCTTTGTGCGGCCACGGAATCGCTCTCCATTTAGCATACGCCAAAATGATTAAAAACTCACCTCATTAATCTGTTCCTGTGTCATATTTCCATAAAGTTGTGTGAGCATCCCGGTGAGACTTGCGGCTGAAGAGATTTTTATTTTTAAATCGATCGTATCCGTTCGGAACTTCTTCCGATAAAGTTTATTTCTCTTTGAAATCTATCGATCTATTAGGTTGATGCAAAAGTCTTTTCGTTTTTTTCGTACTTCTGTTAAAAAGTAACAAATTCACCAATTAATCTATAGTTTGCTCTATAAAAAAAGTGTTTTTTTGTTCAATTTGCATCTTTTTAAATGAATTTCGGTTCACTTTGAAGCAAATTCGAGAGTGAAAAACGCCTTTTTCGTAAAAATCTATAAAAAACTCTACGGAAAAATTGGCTGAATGAATTTCTCTGAAATTTTGGCGAAATATCAAACGTTTTTTTCTCTATCTTTTATCTATTGACACGAAGATAGGTTTTCTTTAGCTAAGGTGTCTAAACCGCTCAGGCTCAGGCTCAGGCTTAGGCTGAGGCTTAGCCTGAGCCTGAGCCTGAGCCTGAGCCTAAACCGCATCATCGAGTTAGCCCTTTTTGACTACCCGACTTCATACTCTCAAGAAAATCCAGGCATTCAATATTTTTAAACCCGTTTTAATGTTATTTTGCAGAAAAATAATTGCTTTTTCTAATGAAATCAACCGTAGTTTAATTCGTGCATTTGTTGGCTTGAAACGGCAGACGAAAAGGAACAAAAACACTTATGCATCAACCTATTATTTCCCCGGCCATAAGCTAGCCAAAACATAGACATTTCTAAGCATTTCCCCCTCAACTTTTCTGTATTTAAACCCTTCTGTGCTTTAATAAATATTCTGCCTGAACCAAGGGACAGAGAAACATTCTAGCCCGAACAGTATCTTTAAAACTCACCCATATCACAGTATTGTCCGGTGAAATTCGCTGAGCAAGCGCATGCGAAAGTGCCGTTAGTGAAATCTGAAATGGTGATCGTTTTTAAAGGTTTTAAAGCTTTAAATAAACCTGTGCAAGTAGCGCCCGGATCTCGCACTTTGCAGAGGTTTTGCCCGTTGAAGTAAGCTCCACCATAGGAGACATTTGCACAAGCACAGGGCAGACCGACTGGAAATTTGATTGAGATTTGTAAATCTTTTTATCGAAGGGTTAAAGATTTGAGTATTGGCTTATTAGCTAGATAGCTAGATAGTCGATATTCCAAAACCTGTTTCTCCTTTTTCTTTCGTGTTTTTCTCAGCACCAATCCTTTCATTTTGACTATTTTAACTATCATTTGATGCAGAATCAAATTTTGCGTCGAATGAAAGCAAAATGAACTCAAAATATAATACCCATGCAAAGTTATGAGGCAAACGGTCAAGTCCCGCTCATAATAGGCGAGGTTTCGGCTTTAGCCAACAAATTTGCGTTAATATTATATTTTGAGTTAATTTTGATATCATTCGATGCGCAATTTTATTCTACATCGAATGATATCAAAGTGAACTCAAAATATAATACCCATGCAAAGTTATGAGACAAAAGTTAAGTCCCGTCCGTACTTGGCGGGGTTTAGGTTTTGCCTCGTGTGGGGGGACCAGATAATCGAGATCACGGTAGCATGCTTTAAAGATCTCTCAAGTTGTTGGACAAAGTTTTCTAGCATTCTTTAAGTCACTTCAAATCACTTTGATTTATCTGTAAGTTCTTTCAAAAATTTCCCTAGAATATAGCCCATCCGGTTGCTAATCAACCATTTGTGCATTTTCAATAAATGCACGAGACTTTCGATCACACATTTCCTCTCCCATGTTCTTGCAAGAACGTCTACTCATTATTCATTGAGGACAAAGTCTTCGCAAACAATGTACCCACTTGCAGCAAAATTTAGCTCAAGAACAAAATGTGTTTTTTCTCAGATACTACCAGAATTGAGATCTTTAAGCTCTCTGAGATCTTTAAGCACTCTGAGATCTTTAAGCTCTCTGAGATCTTTAAGCTCTCTGAGATCCTTAAGCTCTCTGAGATCTTTAGAAGCTTTAGAAGTCAAAGATTAAAGATCAAAGAGCAAAGGAAGATTTAGATTTCTAGGTTTAGGCTTATTTGTAACCTAGAAAATTCAGAAGAGACTTTCGAATTTAAGGCTAATATTATTGCAGTCAAAACTCAGAGCTAATTTGAAGCTTACCGGTTAAAGCTTAGATTTCCTTTGAATATAAGCTTGCTTTGACATTGAAAAAGCTTAGTGTCGCTCTAGGGTTCGAACTTGAGATTAGCTTGACTTTTGGACTAAGCCAAAGTCAAAGAGTTGGCTTGATTGAGCTGGAAAATTGGTTTTCGTTTTGGTCTTGGTTCTGCTTACAGTATTGTCAAGCCAATCTCAAGCCAATCTCAAGCCAATCTCAAGCCAATATCAAGCCAATATCAAGCCAATATCAAGCCAATGTCAAGCCAATGTCAAACCAATATCAAGTCAATGTCAAGCCAATGTCAAGCCAATGCCAAGCCAATGACAAGCCAATGTCAAGCCAATGCCAAGCCAATGCCAAGCCAATGACAAGCCAATGTCAAGCCAATGTCAAGCCAATTACCTTGATTTGGTTTTGGCCTGGAAATTGGATCTCGATCTATTCCTGTTTACAGCAATTGTGCCCCGTCACTCCACTCTCGATTACTCTTGAATTCACTGACCGCAAACTGTCACTCCAACAGTCGCAACGACTGTCGTTGTTGTCATTGTTGCTATCGTTGTTCCAACAGTGGCCACTCCAACAGTTGTCGGGGTGACGGTGGCAATAAGCGGTGTTGTCGTCGTTGTCATCACTGTGGTTAATGGTAAAGCTGTGGTTGAGCCGGCCAACTCTAGAATTTTTAGGGTTTTGAGATCAAAGTTGCTTCTGGAATGTTCGAAACTACTTAAAATCAACCTGTACAATTCGGGCCAGTAAAGTTCGCAGTACAAGTGCAAAGATAACTTCCCCAAATCGGATCACACGAGCCACCATTCTGGCACGGAGCCTCGGTAGCACAAATTGAGAAGTCTAAAGCTTTAGACTACTCTATAACAAACAAGGGCAACAAACTCGTATCACATCTTGACCCAGTCCATCCCGGTAAACAGTAACAGCTTGCAGTGTATCCCGTCATTCCGCTTGGGCCCGAGTACCAGGTCACTTCAAATATGAAAGCATATGAAACATATGAATATGAATATGAAAACTAACCCGAGCACATTCCATATAGACACATCGATGCGTTGCAGTATTGATTTGGAGCAATATCTATAATGGCTCTTTAAAAACTCTATTTATTCACACGAATAACGTGGTACAAAGCCCACAAGCACAGCCCGTCCCAAGTGTCGACTGTATATGGAAAAGGAAAGTGCCAAGGATCTAGCCGGGATTGAACCCTCGAGCCGCTCGACTAAGGCCGACAAGGCTCTTAGCCAGTCGGCCTTGGTAGCGATGGCGCTTTGATGCAAAAACCTCTTAGTATACCTGCACATTGAACTCCCCAAGTCATCGGATATCCAGCTGAGGCCTGACATTGACAAGCATAACTCCCTGAACCGGACGCGTTCGCGCAAATCCCCGCCACACAAGGATTTGGGGTACAATAATCTGTAAATGATTTGAATTAACCTTTTTCTGGATTTTGGAAAGTTTAGATAAATAAGTTCTGGATAAATAAGTTCTCATACTCATCTCCTACAGTGACTCGGAAACTACTGTAGCGTCAAGTCTAGATAGGAAACGATATGTCGCCCAGGTTACGGTATTTTTGAGCGGAATTTGAATTTCCCGATGAACCCACCGGTCGCATCAAGCGCATCGCATTGTGCCCCACCCAACCCATCTGCACATCCACATCTATACGTTGAACCGTAGTTGTAGCAAACCCCACCTTGCCCCAAGACGCAAGGACTGCTCGCACAGGCGTCCAACTCTGAAACGGATCTACTATAGCTGCCTATACGGGCATTCTCTCAGCCATATTTTGACTAAAACTTCTTTAGAAGACTTTAGAATGTATTATAATTTGCTATTTAAAATTAGAAAAACAAAAAAATAAACTTGAACGCCACTACCGGGGTCGAACCCGGATCGTATGGGCTGCAGGCCGACCCGCTCCTCACTGCGCCACGGTGACACATATGCCATCCAAAGAAAAACCCACATAAGGCCGTGGTTTAAACGGTTTGGATGGTTTGAACGATATATCCCCAGCTCCAAAACAGTTAATTTGATGGTGCTTGTGCTCAAAAATAGAAACGCAATCCTTCTGGCAGAGCCACTTTCATTTTTAGTGCACCAAAAAGTGTGTGTTTATATGTTTTGAGAAGAGAAAGCAAATTCCACATACGTGTATCACAAAGTGCTCCCGTCCATCCCATATAGCATGAACAAGTATTGTTAATCGATACAACGGCTCCCGTTCCATCCGTGTAAATCATCGAGGAACAACTGCCTTGGAAACATTTCGGCGCACTATCACCGTAACATTCTTTGCAATCTGAATTTGAATAAATCAACTTTAAAAGTTAAAAACTAAAGTAACGACGGGGGAAAAGAAAGATTTCTGGAGAGGGGATTGAACCCTCGACGTTTTGACGATGCTGGCCAAATGCTCTAACCACTGAGCTATCCACTACCTTCTTTCCAGAGAAGAAAAAGGAAATACAAGAGAAAAGAGAAAAGAAGAAAGAGAATGTTAAGTCAAACACGGGGTTTTTAGATAGTTTTAGAGGTAATGACCTATTTTTACTAACAATAATTTTCAAAAAACATTGTCTAATTGTTGTGGAAGTTTTAATGAGAAAGCTGGGCGAATACAACAAAAACTCACATTCACATTGTGTCCCAAAAAACTCCGGTCCACATTGGCACAAATAAGTGCCCCATCCCGGAGTGCATGTGCCTCCATATAGACATGGATTAGTCGTGCAAAAATCGGTCGCCAAATCCGATTTTTGCACAAAGAAAAGAAGGATCTGAATGTAAAGTTGGACAAAATTGGTGGACAAAAGTTTTCCATTCTTTAGAGTAACAACTGGCAAAATAACAAGGCTGTAGGAGTAAGATGGCTTTGAAAAGCTATCTTACTTTGAAAAGCTATCTTACTCCAAAGCTATCTAACTTCAAAGCTATCTAACTCCAAAGCTATCTAACTCCAAAGCTATCTAACTTCAAAGCTATCTAACTCCAAAGCTATCTTACTTCAAAGCTATCTTACTGCAGTGCTGCTGTACTTGAAAGTGATACTAAACTTTTAAACTCACCAAAAGCTTGAAGCAATAAGAGAATCGAAAGCCAATCATTCAGCTTTCCTTTGAAGAATGGAGTTGTTTGTGAAAGAAATGTTTAAGAAAAGAAAAGTTCAAAAAAGAGCTTTTTTTTTCCCCTTTTTCAAGCTCGATTTCCCCTAGAAACCAGCAGATTTTAGACATTTTTAGTTTAAAAATATTCTCTTTCTTAAAAATTTCTTCAACAATTCTCTATTCTCCGTTTTCGGTGATTCCTTTTCATTTCTATTTACGTCATTTAAGCCGTATCTATGACAGTCAACATGAGAATTTTTGTGCTCTTTTCTGTTTATTTCCTTCTTTTAAAGGCAATAGAACAAGAGCATTTTAAGGCCAAAAATGAAGAATTCATTACACCGAAGAAATCGGTTTTCTTTCAAAAAATAAAAACTTTTGTGTTTACCTTGTTTTGTTAATGAAAAACTCAATAAACAACAACAACAAAAAAGAGGTTTTTTATTGTTAATTTTTGCTAATTTCTAGGTAAATGGCACACGGAAAGCTGCTCGCGGATTATGAGAAAGGCTAGATTGATGCCCGTTTGAGGATTGGCGACTCAATAAGGAAAATCGCAAAAAATTTGGGCCGATCCGACTCTGCCGTGCGAAATTATCTAAAGTCCGAGTTCATTTCTGCACCAAAGAAGAAGCCAGGACCAAAACCAAAGCTTACACCGCGAGCTAGACGCCAAATTGTGAAAAACATCCACGGAAAAACGATCAATGAAGTGAAAACGGAACGGAAAATGGACGCTTCAAAGTCGACAATCTGGCGAGTCATCAAGGAAAACCCACAAATCGATCGACAATTATTGAACATGCAACCGGTCGTGAAGCTTTTGCACAAGAAAACCCGATTGGCGTTCGCCGAGGCTCATATGAAGCAGGATTGGTCTATGGTTGGAAAAGGCTTATATGGACCAGGGTTGGCTTAACCATCGACATCTCGATCGGCAATTGTTGAATAAGCGGTTGCTTTTGTTCAAGAAAAACTGATTGAAGATCGCCAAGGCTTATATGGACCAGGGTTGGCTTAACCATCGACATATCGATCGACAATTATTGAACATGCAACCGGTCGTGAAGCTTTTGCACAAGAAAACCCGATTGGCGTTCGCCGAGGCTCATATGAAGCAGGATTGGTCTATGGTTGGAAAGGCGCTTATGTTTTATTATTTTTTTTTTTGCGTTTAGGTGATCTTTTCCGATGAGAAGAAATGGAATTGGGATGGTCCCGATGGCGTTGACTACTATTGGAGGGATCTTCGACGATCTACGACGTGATCCAATGGTGTTTGGAACTCGAAACTTTGGCGGTGGTTCTGTGATGGTTTGGGCCGCCTTTTGTGCTGATGGAACGGTCGCTCTGAAGATGGTTTCGAATCGGATGACTAGATAGATATCTTGAACAATTGCTTGTTGCCTTTTTTGTTGACGTTGACTACTATTGGAGGGATGTGTTGTTATTGAAAAACTCAATAAACAACAACAACCAAAAAAAAGAGGCAGCCATCAGTTCAACTCAACTCAAATAACAACTTACAATGGTTTTCGAAAAAAGTGTCAACTTTTTGTAAGATTACCGTAAGCTGTCGTAAGCTGTCTTTTTGATCGAAACTATCTACTTTTTTTTGCGCATTTTGACAAAATCAAATGAAATATAGATAAATTGAATCAAACTAATGATGAGATGACAATTCAGAGACGAAATTTGAGACCAAAAAAAGAAACAGCAAGCAATCCTATTTTCTTATTGCAAATAATTATGCTAATACCTATTTTCCTTATTTTCCATTTCATTCCATCTTCTTTTTGTGATTGTTTTTTAAAGCTGGCGTGGTAAATAATTGTATCAAAAGTCGTTTTACTGAATAAAACGAGTTGAACTTGTTTCAAAACATTGCCAAGCCACTGCTCATGCCACTCTGATTGCACTTGTTGAAACTGCAAAGAAGAAAGTTTAAAAAACAAAAAAGATATAAATTTCTACCGTTTCGTGTCGGTTTTGGGATTCTCAGAAGGCTCTTGATATAAGCTCGATAATCACTGTTTGTATAGAGGAGAACGGTGATACTCATCGGACTCTGGATGATCGTGCAAAAACAAGAGGCATCGTTTAGGACTGAGCTTTGAAAAATTCGATGTTTTGGGGTGAAAATGCGAGAATTTTCAAAGCCAAACGCCTAGAAAGCAATTTTGCAAAAACGGAAAACATATTCGGAATCAGCGTGAAATTCTCATTTAGGCAGTTCCTACTCTTGCCTTTCTCTTGTTAGGAAAACTGGTGCCTTACTTGAAAACTTTTGAGTAGCACTACAGTAACACCGTAACCCAGTTGATCAATTTTACAGTAATCCTAGTCACAAATACTTCGATTCACAGTAACTCAAGAGTGATCCTAAAGAGTAATACAGTGGCAGGGCTGTTCCAAGAGTTGGATCCTGGCCTGGCTACCTCCAGAAGGCCTGGTAAATATTGAGGATAAAAGCGATGATAAAGAGGCATAGGCTTACGTTAGCTGAAGCATGCTTTAGCATTGAGTCTCAACTCTGGAGGGACAATAAATTGGTTAAAAAAGAACCTATTTCTTGGGAGTACGGTAGCCTTTTCGAAGGCGCAATGTTTAGGACCTCCACCAATTTATTGTCCCTCCAGACTTCTTTTTCCTGGCATATTCTAGCTTTTAAACCCCACTTTGAACAATCGGTATCTCAATATCCAAAACGAGACAACTCGCCAACCAGCAACATGGAATCAAATAACAAATGACACAAGGAGAGATCTAAATTCAAAAATCTCAATCCATCTTTTGACCAACCTGTAACTGAACCCCAATCAAATATTTCTTGATCATTTGTGCATTTTGTTGAGAGATCATTTTCGAAGTGATTTGAAAGATCATCATAAAACAAGAAGTGAAATTCCAGATCAATATAGCGATCATGAAAACCGAGACATATCTAAGAAACAACGATCCCCACATTTTTCCCTTGTCCACCAAATAGAGAGTGTCTGCGGTTTGTGGATCGTGTAAGCTGACGAATTGAGTGAAATTCTAAGAATTTTGTTTATTACCAGTTGAATGATTACTCATAATTGAGTACTCAAAGGTTTCAGTCTGCAGTAAAGCCAGAGCAGATCAAGCGAGGCAAGACTGGACCAGATCTGGTAGATGAAAGAACCAATAATCTAGCCGGCAGGATTGAACCGTTGGCCTCCCGACTAAGATACAAGGCTCTTAGCCATTTGGTCTGTTTGTCAAAATGACATTTGTCAAAATGTATCGTGGCGTCTGAAAGTTGAACATGTCAAAGCCAAGCCATTCTTGGTCGGAGATTTCAAACTAATTGGTAGATTTGGTCTGGAATTTTGGTTTGGCTTGGCTTGGCCTGGAAAATCAGCCCTAGAAACAGTTCTGACCAAATCTAGGCTTGTTTTCTGTTTGATTCAGGACCTGGCTTCTTGTTTGACCTTTAAAACTCTGCTCACAATGAGAGCTTGACCCACAATAAGAAATTGCTTCGCATTTTCCACTGGATCTTGCTCAGTTATGATTCTAGATTGCAGAAAGTTGACCGATGCAATTCCTTGAATGTAAAATAGTAGAATTAGAATAATGAAATGATTGCGCGAAAGTTTGAAACTAGTGCCATTTATCAGAATGCTATTCGCACGAAAATATGACAAATGACCACATGATCCGAGCAGAACGCTCGCCAAAACGAAGCACAACCACTAAAATTTTGTTTTTATTTGATATTTTGGGGAAATAGCCCTTCTGGAGGGGAAATAGCCCTTTCTGGAGCACTGACGACTGCTTTGAATTCACCAGAAATGATATGTTTCCACTTATCAAAAGCAAAGTACGCAAATGTATCTTGATTTTAGTTATGTTTTTAATAATAAGATTACTTGTTGATAAAATGTTCGCAATCCAAAGATACTCGTTAAGAATCCATGGGTTGTTCCCATGTAACGTGGGGTGTATATCTTTGGACAACACAAAACGCACATGTAGAACTCGAAAATGGCGCTGATACTCTGAAAGGAACATTTCCAATTATTCAACAGCTGGTTTTTCTTGGATATTTTGCGGCCAAGTCCCTCGTCGCCGTGGCGTACACGGGAGCGCGCTTCTCTGCAACCCACACGACCGGGATTCGACCCCCTGTAGTGCCACTGAACTTTAGTGTTTGAAATTTGTAGTTTAAATCGCACAACTAGATTATATTTTGACTTCATGTGCTGGTCAAAGTCAATTCAAAACGGACAGCGCTTTCTGTTTATCTAACTAGAAGTCGCGATGAACAGTTGGGCTGATGCGATTGGGAGATTGCGATTGGGAAATGAAATTGAGAAATGAAATTGCGAAATCAGGAACGCCAAAAGACGGTGGGAGATTTGTAAGCTCGTCAATGATGTCTCTTTGAAAGTTGTAAGATTGCAAGATCAAGCTTGAACCAGTTTCAAGCAGGCCAAAACTTACCTGGCCCAGGAATTTTGGTTTTCTGGCCTACGTAATACAACGTGAAGTTTGTCCATTTCTCATTTCTCACCAAATGAATCAACAAATGTATCCGATATTCGCCCATCTTCTTACTCGTTTTGAACAAAACCATATAAAGGCCAAAAGAATTGAGAAAAAAAGAGACAGGCCCCATATAATGATAAATTTTTATCAAATTAAACGACGAATTTGAATAGTAATCGATTGAATCCGCCATTTATGAGTGAAAAATGAGTTTTGGGTAGAAAAGAAATGAATTGAATTGAAAGATCTTCGGGGAAAGATTTCAGATTTCAGCTGCACTTCGCTTAATGAACTCAAAAAAAAAATGAAAAGAAAATTGCGAACTCTGAAAGGCAATTAAAAAGTGTGCCCTACCGGAAATCTCGCTCAGTCTATACCATAAGTCAATTATGAGGAATTTTTTTTGAGCTGTCTTCGCACTCAGGTGTTCCTATTTGCGCAGATCACAACCTGCTTCCACATTTCTCTATCCCTTGCTATTGTCATCCAGTGTTTCCTATCTTGATGGTTCCTGGTTCGAAGTCTTCGACTTGCTTGTGCTGGTGGTGGTTGCACTCTATCGCCATCCTTTCTCTGACCGTCTCTGCCACTCTTGTGCTCCACCTCGTTGCTGGTCTTCCGATGGGCCTCTTCTGGTCTCGTGGTAGCCACTCTGTGATCCGTATCGTCCATCTGTCGTCTGTTCTTGTGCTTTCGCTTGCGGTGGTTGCTGGGGTCCATCTTGAGGTGGTTGCGGCATGCTTTGTCAGCTGCTCTTTGTTCCAGCTCTGTGGAGTTGGTGTTGTTCTTGACGTGGATCCTCATCTTGAGCAGCTCCTTGGTCGCGACTGAGATCCTCTGCTCTTTGGTCTGTGGCACACTGCACTTCTTCTCGCATTCCTTGAGGTTCTTGACCAGGATGTCGTAGTCTTCGTTGTGATCTCCCGATCGTTTCCAATCCTTATCCCTGAGGAGTTGTGGTAGTATCGAGAAGTCGTGGGCGAGCTTCTTCTCCTTTGGTGGTCGGTGGAGGATCTTCTTTGCCATTTGTTCGCTCAGCCTCACTTTTGCTCGCACGAGTCGATGGTCTGAGCCGGTGACGAAGGAGGGCACCACGCCGACGTCTAGAAGCGTCCATTTTCTGTTGGCGAGGATGTGGTCTATCTCGCACTTCGTCTGCCCGTTGGGTGAGCACCAGGTCCATCGTCTTGAAGTCTTCTTATTGAACTGAGAGTTCCCGTGCGTGAGTCTTGCTGACCATAGTAGCTCTTCCAGACGGTCGCTGTTGTCGTTGCGTGTGCCGAGTCCCAACTTTCCGACCCTTCCGGTGCCGCTGTTCCCGATGATCGTGTTGAACTCCGAGCTCCTGTCTTTCTTGAGTGTTGCTTCGAGGTCTTCGTAGAAGGCTTCTCGTTCGTCTTCCTCGGTTGCGGAGGTTGGAGCGTAGCAGCTGTAGACGGCGATGTCGCGGTTTCTCGGTGGCTTGAGGTGGAGGATGCGAGTCGTGGAGAGATGATCTCATGGCTGTCGACAAGTGGCACGATGTCCTTGTTGACCAGGAAGTCTACTCCTCCGATGTTCTTGTTGGTGACTTTGTGGCCGAGTATGAGCAGATCGCCGTTCGCCTGTGTCTTCGTGGAGTCATCTTTGGCCTTTGTTTCTTGGAGGGCGATGATGCCGAATTTGATCTTCTTGCTCATCTCATGGAGTGTAGTCTTATCAGCTTGCGAGGCGGCTGTCCTGGCGTTGAAAGTGCAGAGTCGGAGGCTTG